TTCCAGGCTGCACTCGGTTGTATCTGGTGGTCATTTGAGGTCACTGTTGCTTTCCTGTCAGCTTGAACAGCTCAGCTCCTCTGACATCAACAAGAACTCTGCTGCACTCTGGATATTTTCTCCATTTTGGACTCTGATGTACCCAGGTAGCCTCTCCAAAGCAGATCAGCAGTTTCTTTAAAAATAGTCGGAGCAGCCCATCTCACGCCACAGTCCCCTCTCTTCCCCACGTGTACATGCCCGACTGCACCAACCAATAACATGGCAGCTATTTAATTTGATATTTGTGTTAATGAGCAGTTGAACAGGTGCAGCCAACAATGCGGCCTGTGGCTTGCCGTCAAGTACCTGGAGCTAAGCTTGCTGGCTGGTGGAGACGTCTGTGAGGTGAAGTTAAAAATGCAAATCCCAACAAGCCAGAGGAACTTTAACCTTTAACCCCGAGAAAGTGAACAAAAACAGTCATAATGTGTGTAAAGCTTCAACAGCTTTCATCCTTCCATTTTCTTTCACTCGGCCAATTAATTTTTTAAATTTAAAGCTGCCACATGTGCAGGACTCACACCTCCCACTTCAACATCATTGTTGCTACAACAGAGAAAAACAATTATACCGGATATAAAAAGTTGGCGGAGTTTTTCTGATGATCACTGAAGCTCCAACAAAACTTTATTTAATTTTTTTATTTTGTTTAGGTCCCAAAAAAACCATCATAATAACATTATATCAATAATATTAATACAGAAGTTGAAAAAAAATGGAGGAAAAAAATAAAACAGCTTTTCTGTCCACAGCCTCGTTCTCGGTGGGGAGGGGGATTTGATCCTCCGGGGGGGAAAATCTGTAAAGTCCTTTTTTTCAGGGGTGGGGGGGTAATTAAAACAAACAAAACAAAACCAAAAAATGTGAAGTGGGCGTGGCTTCAAGCTTGAGGCGCGCAGTCCGTCTTTCTCCTGTGCACCAATCAGGAATGTCGAGGTGAGGCAGGGGGTGGTTTTCGAGGTAAAGAGCCGACGTTCAGTCTCACTGCTGCGACATCTGCCGGGGGGGGAACGGAGAGGTGGGGGTCAGAGAGATGTCATCTCTTTATGTGTGTGTGTGTGTGTGTGTGTGTGTGTTAGTCACCTGCTGTGTCTGCGGCTGTGGTTCAGGTGCTCGGCTTGCCAAGCGGCTCAGGATGTTCCTCTCAGACATCTGGAGTCGGACTGCAACCGGCGGTATCCGGGCGATGGTTGCAGGCAGGCGGGTGACGTCCGCCTTCATGTCACTCAGCAGCTCCTCCAACTGCTTCAGCACTGAGG